ATCACCAGGCCAGGGTGAGGTGGAGTTTCATACTACTATCTTATTTAATCTTCATGCACATCTCATGAGATGAGTGCTGTTGTCATTTTATAAATTAATAAAAGGAAGAATTTAAAAGTCTTGTAATACATGTTATTGCTGAATCTTGGGCAGGTACTGAGTTATCGGTTCTTCATATTCCAAGCTTTTAGCCGCATTCAACACCTCCTTTAACCTCGGTTTCCTCATCTGCCACGTCAGTGCAGTGATAACTGTCTTGGAGTGAGGGCAGGAGGATGAGGGATCATGTATTAGGCATCGTGTGATGACCCCTTTTAAGACTGGCTATTCATTTTTGCTGCCCTGGAGTCCTATTAATAACAATTGTCAACACTTATAGCCATTATCATCCATGAGGGTAACCGTCATCCATTTCCGTCAAGAAAAGTTCATGCATCTGCCTTCTTTGCACACGTATTTCTGAGAACAGAGTGAAACCTCACCAACTAGAAAAGTTTAGTAACATGTCTGCAGTTTCAGGGCCAACGAATGGCTCCAGCTCTGCCTGTGTGATGAGGGAACCCACCTTCAGGCACAGTGTCTGGGAACGTGCCCCAGGTGGTAAGATCGACAGCTCTTTCCTTCAGGACCACAGGGATACGGCCCTGGATTAGAACTCACAGCCCATCCTGTGAGTTTGTGTGTCTTTCTTCCCACAAGAAGATCTTTCCTGCTGGTGGTTCTACCTGGTGTGCTACTTGGGATTCTTTCCAGGCAACTTTATGGAAGGTTCTGATCCCGTAGCATCCTGTGACGTCTTAAAGGCGATGGCTGACCGAGAATCTCAGTGCAGAATCAATTTGTCCAAAGCCCTCATGTGGACTCGCAGTTAACCTTCCTGATACAGCTAACCGAGAGTGGTATTGTAAATCACGAGTGGCTACTTAAGAGCTGCGGACTGGGTGTGTGCACGTCACAGATAGACACTGATGCCATATGGATGCTTTTAGACCAAGGTAGAGGATGTAGCAGCTGCCATCCAAAGCTTCCCGGCACCAGGAAGAGCTTGTCTGGCAAAGCCAGGTCCAGCCAGCCAGCATCTGACCCTCAGAGGAGCCCGCTGGGTGTCACCCAAAGTTCCCTCGCTCGTGACATATGGACAAGCAGGGGATGCACAGCATTACAGCTGCCGCCCCTTCTGCTCATGCTGCTCTGCGACCACGCTGGCTCTGCACCATGGGTCAACGAAAATGACTTAGCATTTTACACAGTTCTTTAAATGTCTCCCAGGCTAAAATTCCCACTTACACAGCGGGCTTCCTCAACATGTGGAGGTTTCCCTACATCCGGATCACCTAAGTGCTGCCTGGAAATAGAGATTCTAACGCATTTTTGTATATGTATTGGTTTACTGTTTGTCTCCCTGTAAGAAGCACTGGAGAGCCGAAACTGTTGTCTGCCCTGGCACACCAGGTCCCAAACGATATTTGCACAAAGTATTCAGTAAATATTTGTGCAGTGATTTAATTCTTCAACCCTAGACTGACCTATGAATCAAAATCCCTAAGAATGAAGCCCAGAATCTGCTGTTAAACAAATACTTAGGTGATCCTTATGCACACTGTGTTTCAAGAACCAGTGTTCTGAAGTAATCTGGTCAATTCTAAGATCAAAAGATGAAAAGTTTGTCCCCAAACTCAGTCAGCTTAACTATTAGGGGAAAGTAAGTACATTAATATCCTCTGGTTAAACTTTTCCTTCTAGTTGCACAGCTCCAGCTGGTGTCTTTCCACCCTCTGCCTATCCCAGGATCTGAGCTCAGTGGACACAACACATACGGACCTGGAAGGCAGTGCCTAGGAACGGCTGGGGCTGCCCACGTCTCCTGTCACTCTGTCTGTCAGCAGCCAGCATCCGGTCTATGTTTTGACAAGCCTGCTCCTCCCAAAGCAGGAAACTGCGAGGACCCTGGACAGGGCACTCTTATCAAAGACAGGAACAAAAAGTAGCTGTTAGTGCCGGCACCGGCACCCAAGCGAGAGCTCTAAATAGAAGTGCGCTTCCCTGTTACCTGTTTTCACAATTCCTTTGGAGTTTCCCTGGGAACCGGCAAGCAGGATTTACACATTGCAGAGCAGTGGAGAGGGAGAGAGTAAGAGTTCTGGCAGAACTTTCTCAGTCCGTTATGCTTCTTTAGTGACAGGTTACAGAGGTTGTCATGGCTGCTCAGGTGTGTTCTGCAAAGAGCATAGTTACCTGGTTAAGCCATAGTTGCCCAGTTCCGTACGGAAGGGTGGTCCCTGTCTCTCTCCCTTCCGCCCAAACTCACCTGATAGAGAAATGAAAGCGACAATGTGTTTATCTCTGCTTTCCACACAGGCTTGCATGGCACCGCTGATTCACAGAAACCACATCTTATTTCGTTCTAACAGAGTCTGGCCACCAGGCTCGGGGATGCACACCTGTGATCCCAGTTCTCTAGGAGTCTGAGGCAAGAGGATCACAAGTTTGAGCCCAACCTGGACGCCTCAGGGAGATCCTGTCTCACATTTTAAAGGGTGGGGGCTGGAGATGTCGCTCAGCACAAAGACCTTGGGTTCCACTCCCAACGACAGGCAGAACCCAGTCTTCCTGAATTCATTTGCTATCTTCTTCGCCCTCTTGAGTTTGTTCTGGGAGTTTAGGGTTATATTTCTAGTTACAATCCACCTTTCACCAGCCGTGATTTCTCTTGGGAAAGGTTCTTTGGTTTGGGTCATCGCTTTACCTCTGAACCTTTTCACTGTTTTGAAAAATGAGGTTAAGCTAGAATCAAGCCTCCACATTGTAGTGCACTGTAATTCCGACCCTGCAGCGATTCTTGCTCCCCCCTAGTTGTTAACAAAATGTGTAATGTGGGTAGATGAGCGAATACCACTTGTCACGCTCATCCACCTGGATTCTCCAAGCTGGTATAAACTAGGTCAAACCCAAGATTTCCAAAATAATTTCTCAGAAGTTTCCTTCTCGGGTTTCATGTTTACCTGCAAAAGTACTGTGACACTGGGCATGGTGGCACACACCTTAATCCCAGGACTCTGGAAAGCTAAGGTCAGGGGATCACAAGTTCAAGCCCAGGCAGGCAATTTAGCCTGTTAGGGAGAGCCTGCCTCAAAATAAAAATGTAAAAATGGGAGGCTGGGGTTATAACTCAGTATGAAGGTGCTAGGTTTAGTCTTCATACTGGGAAAAAGAAACCTATGGCAATATTAATGTGCTTAAAGCTGTACATGAAAGACAAATATGATATACTACTGGAATTTCTTCTGTAAGATTAGCATTTTGCTGACAGCAGGGCTGGAGAGGTGCCTGAAGTTAACCTTACTGCTTTAAGGGAGCCCACAGGCCAAGCTGTGAAGGGCAGGAAAACGGGGAGGGAGATGCTTTCTAGGGCTCCTTCCCTGGCCATTACTCGCAGGGTACCTGCTGTGCCCTTTGCTCTACCCCAGCTGGACAGACTAACCTTGGGCCCTGCACCGCCAGCACCCAGGTACTACACGTGAACTGTTTCACTTTGGAAAACAGCTTCACCTAAATCAGGGCTTCCTGTGCCTCGTGGTTTAATGTCTGCTGTATATTCCTGCTATTTTGTTGCACCTCCTTTATAGGCCGGAGATGAAAATGGCAGAAAATATAACTTACCTACTCACCCTATAATGCTCAAATTATTTTCAAAAACGAAAAGTTAGGGAACTGATTTCTGATAGAATACCATACTTCAGTATGTAGGGCTGGGGATTGAGCTTAGGGGTGCCACCGCCTGCCTCACAAGTGCAAGGTCCTGAGTTCGATCCCCAGTACCCCCCCAATCATACTTCAGTACCCTAGGCAAGACAACACCAGAAGGTGTAACGACAGAGCCCAGTACTCACTGTGCCTCCAGCTTCGCGAGAACACTCAAGACTGTGCTGCTGAGCTGGTGAGAAGATTAAAACCCCATCACCGAAGGCTCTAAGTGCCCATAGTGTCCCAGCCACTCACTGTGGTAACCACCTCTTACTTGGTTTTCCAGATTGTCTTTATAAAACCTCGATCAATGATCCCCACGTGAAACGTTCAGCAACCTTAGAAAATATGTCACTGCCTACAGTACCTTGTAACTACTCTATCTGTCCTTTGTTTTTTCCCCCTTAATCTTGAAATAGGAATGTCGCACTGCATAAATAATCTCATCAATTAAAACTAACATTTATTGAACACTTACCAAATGCCGATCCCTTCTCACATCATTTTGTATTTATTATTCAATCATAGTAATTCTGTTATCTTCCAGAGATATTTGGCATAGGAAATTAATTGACTTTGGTAACACCACACATCCAGCCACATTTGGCTTGTTGTAAAAATAAGCTCTTCTGATTACCATAGTACAAAGGAAATTATTATCTGTGTTTTCACTTTAAGAAAGAGATATTTTGAGAATGAAATGATGTTTCTTCTTCCTATGCAACTATCTGTGTTTAAAATTTGAGACCATGAATTCATGGTCTACTTCATGCTCTTAGCACTTGGGATGTAACTAGGTGGTTTAGGGACTTAATACTTGATTCAAATATTTCAGAATGTCTTTTCTTGGCATTTCACCTACATGTAAAATCGTGGGTGCATGCTCTAGAAATTTTGGAATACAAATGGTTTTTCTCTGCACTCTCCTTTCACTGCCAAATGTCTAGCTCCACATCAAGCCTATTTTAACTGAATTGAGAGCATGACTTAAAATCAGTCTTTTTACAGAGTAAAGGCACCCTACGGAAATTCTACCGGAAAACACAGTGTGGTCAGAAGCCTCCCAAGTATTCCCACAGACGAGAGCCTTGTGTCATCATTCAGGGAGGGAAATGCATTTCACAAGTTTTAGCTGAGCATTATTATCCATGGTACAGGATTGGATTTAAACCTCTTGTGTCCGCTCACATTGTAAAACAACAAAGAACACCAACTTATTCCAAACAAACCTATGCTATATTTATTTTGCCTTTCAGGGGGAAAATGATTCCATCTGATCTTGAAAGAAGAATCGTTGAAGTCAAACAGAAAGTAAGTTTTTGTAGGGATCTTACCTAGCCCACAACAAGCTGAGGATCTGTGTTTCCATTTCTAACCAGAACTCACTTGGGTTTTATTTTTAAAAAGAACCTGCATTACTGAGACAAAATACTTGGCACCCACAGCTTAAAGGAAGAAGAGTTTATTTGATTCCTGGTCGTAAAGGGTTCAGCTCATGAATGGTGTGGCAGAAGAGCCTAGCAGAGAAAAGCTGCTCGACCCATGACAGCCAGGAAGCAGAGAGTGAGGAGGGAGGAGTTAGGGACAAGGAAACCCCTTCCGGGTCACACCCACAGTGGCTCAGCTCTTTTTGCCAGGCCTCCTCACAGCTTGCTGAGCTGCGAACTCATCAGCGGATTGATTGCTCACGAGGAGGGTGCCCTGTGATCCATTCACCTTCGAAAAGCCCCAAAACATGTCAGACTTCTGGAGGACATTTTAGATCTATACCAAAGCAGGCTCCAGGCTTCAAACCTCCCAGCTCTAAAAAGAGTATGGAGTCCTGCATCCAGTCATTATTTGTTTCTCTTTGTTATGCACAGGGTCTAAAGAAAAGGTTTAAGACTTATGCAGGTCTTAGATTATTGCCCTCTAGTATGTTGAGCGTGCTCATTAAACCAGCACACAACTGAAGATCACTGTCACAGGCAGAGGACACCAGAATGTTCAGGTAGCATGTGAGTTACAGTGGTACGGTTATTTAAAAGGACCAGTTTTTTCTGCCTAAACACATCTGAGATGATTGACTCTCCATACATCTGATAGTGTAAGGAGCAATTTAGAACTGTGTTTTAGAAGCAGTAAGTTCTGAAGACTCACCAAAGATTCCCACAGGGCGTGGAAAGCATTTGTACATCAGAATGGTTCACAAGTCAGAGAGTTTGTTTTTAAAATGCTGTGTAACTTTTGGTGAATCTGTTCTATAGTTCCCGGTTTAGCAATATACACAGGCATTTTGTTTTTATACACTTAGGGATAATTCTTTTCTTTTTCCCTTATAACCTGGTTCTTCTACCAGAACTGTGCTTGTGACATAAACCACAAAATCAAACCTCTGCTGCCACCTAAAGACTGACCCTGTAACATCGTGTTCTGTAAATGGATACAGTCCTGGGATGAGGCGGCTAATTCCATTTATGACACTTCTGCCTTCTCCCAACACAGCCTACTGTTGCAGTCTTCATTTAGCAATCATCAGACAGGCTGAGGACTAATCAAATGGATCAAAGTTGTGCCTCATTGTGTAGACCCGTGCAAACTCTTCTCACTAAGATTCTTCCTCTTTCTTCCTGTACCTGCTCACACTGGAGGAAGTAGTAAGCTCAGAGCCCTTGTTGTCAAGAAAACTAGAAATGCGCAAAAGGACTAACGGGGCCAGAAAGGCCACCGAGTGATGAATAAATGGCTTCTAGACATCACTGACGGCCCCTGGCTCAGCGTGTCCTTTCCTGAGAGCAGAGTGTCTGCTGTCCTGAGGCAGCTGTCGGTTCCCGCAGAATGTCCAGGAGCACAGATTGAGGTAGTGGCTGCTGATTCATACCAGGCTCCTGTGTGGTGATGCCACTGCTGACGGTTCCAAACACGCAGCCATGCGTGCTGGGGGAAGATTTCCCTTGCTTCTGATCAGCTTCTTAAAAGAAGGCTTGCCCTCCTGCTTACATCCATGGGGTTTTCTCGTTTGTGTAGGGATTTGTCCCTTTCCTTGTGAGTGCCACAGCTGGAACCACTGTGTACGGCGCATTTGACCCTCTGTTAGCTGTGTCTGACATTTGCAAAAAGTACAAGATCTGGATGCACGTGGATGTAAGTACCCCTCGGGGACCGCTCACTGAAGTGTGCTGGGGTGCCCTTTATCGGGGTGCATGGGATACGATGTCTTTTCTCTCTCATACCCTCTTTTTTACTTTAGTATCTTCAAAATGGTGATACTTAAGCTTTTCAAGATCTGAGAGGCAGAGGAACACACAGCTCACATGGTAGACAAGATTTGCTGGAAGGGTCCTGGGGCTTATGATGCCTTGAGGTTCCCAACACGAAATATTCTTTTTTCTATGACCAGCGCTAGAGCTGAACACTTGGTTTTCAATCCATGAAATGCCCTCAGAGGGTTAGGGCCTACACACGGTCACACATACTCAGGTCTGTCTTCCTGATGGGCAGGAGGATCACAAGTTTGAGCCCAGCTGGGCAAGTTAACAACTTAGCAAGATCTTGTCTCAATGTAGCTCAGTGAAGAGGATCTAAGTTCAGTCCCCAGCACCGCCAAGGAGGGGAGTGTATGAAGGGATTTGCATTTATATAGAAATCCAGAGTTAGGTGTTCATGTAATTAGACAGGAAAGCCAAGTTAACAACTTACTGGAAAATGTGGACTACCAAATTCTCAATTTTTTAGCTTGGTCAACCAAGACGCTAAATTATATTTGAGATGCTTTGACTCAAGGCTTAGTCACACTAAAAATGAATAGAGGTAGAGGTAGATGTGTGCCATTTTCAGAGGAAAACAGCAGCACCTCTTGAGGGGAGGATTGAAGGGATGTAAGTTAAGATCAGCAGATTAGGCAAAGTGTGGCTTGAAGATCAACTGCCCTCTCTAAATGGTTTGCTAATGTCCTGTGGTGAGGTAAAGAGCTTATGCCAACCATCACTCATCATAAACCTTCACAGCCTGAGCACAGTGTTTGGATCAGATGATTTATTTTTCCTGGAAAGACTTCTTCGGTGAAGGAAGCCATGCTTGATAGATATTCTGGTGCAGGATCTCTGCTGTGTGACTGCACTTTCAGTGGCACTGGGTTGGGCCACTCTGACTTGCAACTTGAAAGCTATTTGTGGGTCCTGGTCCATCTTCTCCACATAAACTGTGGTGACCACAGGGTCTCTCGTTCTGAGAACCCGGACCTCACTAGGACTAGTGGAGGTGAGGAAGTAAGGGTAGGATCTTTCTCCAGCTCATACAGACTGAGGAGATGTGCCCCGGGCTGGCTCCTTATACCTCTGTAAATAGGGGTCAACTTGACATCTTAGAATGATCCTCCAACTCCAACTTTGTGGCCTGGCCCCAGAAGGAGGTTGCCTGAGGCCTGCAGATCGGTCTCACTTGAGACTCATCACTCTGGAAGACACCACCATCTGGGAATGAAAACCTCCTACCTTTCCCCTTGTTTGATCTTCTTTTTCAGGCAGCTTGGGGTGGGGGACTGCTGATGTCCCAGAAGCACAAGTGGAAACTGAGTGGAGTGGAGAGGTACCTGCATGCTTCTTGTTAGCGGTGTAAGATGTTGCAAGCTAAACATGGAAAGCAAACAACGCTGCGTTTCCGGGGACTCTGGTGGTGCGCGTGGCCCTGCTCCGCCTGTGCTTTGTGCCTAACCTCGGGTGGTGTTGCACTCAGGGATGTTAGGTGTAAACTTCCAGAATCTCGAGCCCCCGGCAGGTGAGCCAGGCAGACCGCCCCTCAGAAACAGAGCTTTCTGTCTGAGGTCTGTCCCTGGGTCCTCTGCACTCACCACCAAAATTGTTCAAAACCACAGGCAGGCCACATTTTTCTAGGGAGAACATCTACAGCTTTCATGTTCTTTAAAGGACCCTATTCACTCCTTTGACGAAGTCAATACATAATTTTTCATAATTTATCAACGTTGAAAGTCCAGGTTTGGGATTTAATAGAGGCAGTTAACTTACAGCCAGACATATTCATGATAACATCTTTCTGTGGTTCCCCCACCCACCGCCCCACCATAATAAGCTTTTCCTGACAGAGCTCTGACTGATGCTAGAAAATAGCTTTTATTTACAGCCTAAGCAATTGAGCTTTAGGGCAAAGCTGCAAAAAATAAAGGAAGTAATGTTGGATTAGCATAAGCATTTTCAGGTCCAAGGGGGAAAATGCAGAATGCAAAACACAGCCTCGGGCTCTTCTGGACCAGAGGCAGAGGGGGCCGAGTCCCCTCCCAGTGTGGAATCCACTGCGGTCACTGCAGTGAGCCTCCGCCCCGCGCCCTGGCCACCAAGGAGGTGCACATTCACCAGAGGTTGCCAAATGCCCCGCATGCCCTGCCAAGTGGCAGGTGCTGCTTCGCTCTGGCCCTGCCTGGAAACCTCTTGGCACGGTCTCTGTTCCAGGACAAGTGGGTGGGCTGATGGCCTCTGGGGCACCTGCTGGCATTGACGTGCAGGGTGCCCAGGCAGAGGGTGCGTACAGAGTATGCTCGGTGACACCCAGGCCGGCCCACATGAAGAGAACCATGAGTGTGGATGGAAGGGGTGGGGTTGCTGCGATGGAGTCAAGGGTACCACGCCGGATTCGTGGACAGGAAGCTTGGAAGAGTCAGACAGGCCAGCTGGGCCCCGTGTCAGAGGTCACAGTGTTTGGCTGTGCTGCCCAGGCAGAGCCTGCCCTGGGAACGGCTGGGCTAGGACCCTGGAGCTGTCCACACCCATGTTGCAGGCCCCACTTAGGTGTGGGAGGCTGAGAGCATGTGGATCTCCATCCCGGATCAGCCAGTCTGGGCCTCTGCTCCCGGACCTTTGACCCTCTCTGAGGCTGCCATGAAGACCCAAAGGAACAGAGGCAGTGGTTCAAACAGGAGAAACAGCAGAGAGAGAAAGAGGAGGGCAGGAAGGAGGGGGAAAGGAAGGCAGAGAGACAGACGGAGAAACAGAGAACTTGGGAGGCACCTGCTCCAATGATCAGAACGAGAATTAAAGCCATGGCTTGGGGCTAGGGGCTAGCTCAGTGACAAGCACTTGCCTAGCGTTCTTGAGGCCGTGGGCCCTAGATTTGATCCCCACCACCATAAACACACACACACACACATGCACACAATTAAATTCATGGGCCTTCAACGGGCACCTTCTCTCCTGTTTCTTTCTGACTGGCACAAAATCTGAGCATCTGTTATTTTACCTCCCGTGCCACCTGGGGCTGCAAGTGCGGCCAGCCCTGGAGCCCCTCCGAGTAGAAGCTCACTAAGTTACCTGCCTTGGCTCTCGGAAGATGAGCGTCCACGCACCTAGCTCCACTGTGCCAGACACTGACCCGAGAGCAAAGCTCGGCACGTTCACCTGGGAACACACAGTCCTCTGCTCCAGTTGCTACCGTTCTTGACAGTGCTATAACTAACCCTACCACATGGAATCACCCGATGTGAATGCCTAGAAACAAGGTGATTGCTCACGTTCTGCCCCCTTAGCCACCCCCATAGAAAGGCACTTTCTTTGGTGCGTAGGGCTGCAGGGCGGTGGACACTGCTGGAGCATAACGTGCTAGCTTGGGAAAGGCATGTGTCCTGCTTAGGGGAATGACTTTTTCCAAATATCACAGACCAAAGTTTAGGACTTACACTAAAACTGAAGAGAGCGCACAGTCTATTCTTGTCCCTAAATTCAAAGGTTCCTAGGTAGTTGCTGAGCATTCCCAGATGCCCTCCTCACAATAAAATGTCAAAGCACCTGGAGCCCGCCTGGCACCTCCTTTGAGAACCAACCAGATTCTCAGACGATGACTCCCTGCTGCTAGCACTTTAGAGCTGGTGTCCAACAGGGTGAGCCCAGGACCTGGCAGCCCAGGGGGACCTCACAGGGCGCGCCCACTCTTCCTTGGTCTCCCTGCAGCCTGGTGCTCTGCTGTGTTACACTCTCCAGGCTTCAGGGCTCAGGCTCGAGGGCCTGGTATAGCTGCTGTTGCTTCCTCCGTGGCCCTCTCTCCCACCTTCCTGTCACTTCCCCTGTGCGCGAGCTCCAGTACCTGGCACTGTGTAGTTTGGGAGGAGGATGAGGTGGACAGTGGCTGTGGCAAGGGGACAGAGGTCTTGTCCAGGGAGTCTCGGCTGAGGCCCCACCATGGTGCCAAGACAGAATCATGGGGTGCACTGCCATGTGCCAAAGACCTGAGCTGGGGAGCAGGCCTGCATGGGCAGAATATTGTGCTCCTCCAATGGGGGTGGAAAGACGGAGAATTTCAGCTCTAGCAGCCATAGCCAGCATTTCTCAAACAAAGGCCAGTCGTCAGATCATTGTGCTGTTTTGACATCTTTATGAGACAAAAGCTCATAAAGCTTTTGCTTTATGCTCCTGCCTCTGAGACAAAAGCGAGAAAGAGGCAATTCAGTGACAGGTGGTGGCAGGCCTTCATCGCTTTGATCCTAAGAAGACAGACACACAGGTGTAGGAGTAAACAGCCCGAATCACAGGACCGTGGGACAGCTGCCTTACTGTCCTGCCTGAAGCCCTTACTGACACAGCTGAGTTCCTCGGGACCGGACACAGTGATTGGACGTCAGAGTGGACAGAGTGACGGAGTCCCTGAGCCCAAAGTCCTAACACTTGTGAGTGTGAAGGCAAAATCTGTAGCAGAGCCAGCCGAGACAGAATTATTGCAAGTTTGAACCCAGCCTGAGCAACTTAGCGAGACCCTATCTCAAAATCAATGAAAAGGGGCTTGGGATGTAGTTCGGTGTGAGGGGCCTGGGCTCAATCCCTAGTACTGCAACAGGGAGGGAGGGAGAAAGCAGAGAGAGAGATGGATTATCGATCAGACTTGTCAGATGGCATAAATCCTCAAGCTCTGCATGACTGTTGTGAGAGCTGAAGTTACTGATGAGAGTGCAAGGTGTTTCTCAGGTGTGTGAGGACACAGTTGGAAACCTCGCCAGAGAAGCCGTGGTGCAGCTCATTTTTGGTCTGGAAAAACAGGTCAAGGTTAGGAGAGAGGTGGGAACAGGAGACGAGCTAGAAGCTTCTCTGGAGGAACGTATTTGAGAAACGTGGTCAGCAGTGGAATAAGAGGCAGGAGGAAAACTGAGCGGTGGGATGGGCACTCCCTCTGCGCTCCAGGCCCCTGCAGTGGCGTCCCATGTCGGGACACTGGGAGTGAGTGATGTGCTGCTTTCCCTGCCCAGTGCTCTGTGCATCTGTGGCCAAAGTCAGGACCCTGAACTCGGTGACCCCAGGCACTCTAGACGGCTCTTTGACCACGCAGAGGCAGGACGCAGGCGTCCACTGGAGCTTGGGGGAAGAGACCACCAGGAGGTCGCCCCCCGCCCACCTCTCAGCACAGAGAGGCTGCACACCCGAGGGCCTGCCTTGCGTTCGAAGAGTGGTGTCCCCACAGTGTGAGAAACAGAGCCAGCAAACCGAAGCCCTGTCACCCCGCAGAGAGCCCGAGCAGTCTGAGCCCGTGTGGGGTGCCGTCCTCTCACACGGCTTGTTTGTTTTAGGGCCAACTCTGTGACGTGGAATCCACACAAGATGATGGGTGTCCCTTTGCAGTGCTCGGCTCTCCTGGTGAGAGAAGAGGTATGTTTTTTCCGACGCTGTGCCCAGGCCTTGGGCGAAGCTCTGTCCGGACTTGACCTTCTCTGTAATTGTGAAGGTCACCAGTCCTTGCCTCTGGCTGCTCACCCTTCTCCAGACGGTGCTCTTCTGAACGCCTGTCAGGGAGGGAGATCTCCGCTTCCAGAACAAAACCGTGACCATGACAGTCCCCATGTTCAATTCTGTTATAGTCAGAGTCCCATCATCCAAGGGCCCTTGGTCACTCTTAAAAATCTAAATTTCCAGTTTTCTTTAGGGATATGAGAAGAGACAGTTTTTTGCCATAAGAAAAAATGTAATTTTTCCCTTAAGAAAAAACGTGCATGATATAGGATAAAGGTGAGTGTGGGATTCAGATACGCACATGTGTATATATAAGAGTATGTCTTACATCCCTCCCAGTTCTGTTCCATGGTTTTTAATTTCAGTGCCGCATTCAGAATGTAAGGCATCTGTATATGCATCAACCTGCAAAGCAGAGAAGCAAGGACCACTTTCATTCCGGGGCAGTCTGCTTTCCTCTGTGAATGCTCGGTGTGGCCCTGACTCCAGGCCTCACCCTGCCAGGCTGAGTCCCCTGCCCTCACTGCTCTGTTACTCTGTTGGTGATACCCAAAATAAGGAGCTACAGTTTATCCCCATGAAATGTTTTCCTGTTAGAATTAATGAAGCAACTGAACTTAAAAGGGCTGTGAAACATTTATCTTTACGTACTTTGAAAATACTTCTTTTCCTGATTACAAAGTTAACACATAATTATTTTAGGAAATTTAGACAGGTTAGAAAATAATAAATAAATTTAGAGTCACCCAAAATGCTGTCATTTAGAGAGAAATGTTGTTACTGTTTTCAAATATTTTCCCACATTTTTTTTCTAGGGCTATAATATAGTTTATGTTTAAGTTTTATGTAATCAAATGGTTATCATCTGTGTCAGTGGTGGCAACCCTATAGCACATGTGTTGTTTTTCTCTTAAGACAAAAGATGTTAATGTGTGAGCTGTTTTTTCTAAACTACAACTTCAGTATTCAGGTTTAATTGAAGTGCTGGTAAGTAAGTAGGCTTTTAGGTGCACTGTGGGCACTCGTCTGTGAAGGGTTTTGCCATCGCTGATCCATGTCATATATATATGTTTATTCTTTTTTCTTTTTTCTTTTTTTTTTTTTTCAGACAAGGTCTCACTATGTAGTTGACACCAACCTGTAACTCACTATGTAGCCCAGGCTGGTTTTGAACTCACAGTGGTCCTCCTGCCCCAGCCTCCCGAGTGCTCGGATTACAGGCGTGCACCACCATGCCCTAGTCTTTTTTCTATTGAACAATGTATTGTGAGCATTATATCCCAAAACACGGTTTTTAGTGGCCTCATACCATATCGCACAAGACATAGTGGCTTGATAAAATCCTTAAACGTGTGTCTTTGCTCACATTTCTGATTTTTTTCTTAAAGCACGGAGCTGTAGTGTCTTTATCAAATGAATAAGAATCCTGACATACAGTGAACACAGACTTCCCCGCAAACGGGATGAGTACGCTGGAGAGTGGCCTTTCAGACTGGCTTCCCGGCATACAAACATCCACTTTGATGTGTTGTCTCCTACATGAGCTAATGCAAACTGCAGGGGTACTGCTAGAAAGGACAAAATAAATTTGTGTTATGTAGATTTTCACCAGCTGTTTGACTGTGGTCCCGGCGTGTCGCTGCAGACCGAAACAGAGCTGAGCCACATGAAAACGGCAGATCTGGAACTGATCAGACAGCTGCATTACCGAGAGCTGCTGAGTGGTAATTTCAGGACACAGCCTCGTGGCTCCGTGCCTAAACCGTCCGGTTCAAAATAGGCTTTGATTAAAACACAGAAGCTTATTAGTGTTTCAGATGAGGAGAAGCTGCAGAATGGACAAACGTGTGCAGTGACAGAATCAAAATACACAGTAAGTTTTCCAGCCAGCCACAACCAGAGAGAGAAGTTGCTCATCCAGGCAAGGAGCTGAGCCCTTCCAGTTCTGCTGTGACTGGAGAGGCAGGCTTGCTTCACACGTGGCTGACTGTCGGGCCGGAGACTTGGGGCTCCTGTAGTTTGTATTCTGTAGGGTCAGCAAGGAGCCCATGCCACTCAGAAACAGTCAGTGAGCTTCTACATGAGGGAGGGAGGTGGACATCGCCTTCCTCTGATTAAACTACACCTGCACAGCTTTGCTTAGCTGGGTGCCAGAGAATATTAGAGGGGAATGAAATATGAGAAGATGAAGAAATGGAAACAAAGTCTTTGCGAACAGAGAGGGGTGGAGGGGGTGAAGGGAGGGCAGGGGAATGGGGAAAAAATAAGAACCAAGATGGATTACGTAAAGGTGCATATTCCCAATGATGAATGTCATCGTGCTGTGTACCTAAACTGTACCATAAAATTAATTTAAAAAAAGAAAAGCATATATGGCACCCCACCAAGGGAGAATTCAAACAATGGGGAATAATTAGTCAGCATCGAAGGTGGATGGTTGGAAGGACTAAAGGTTTTTAATCCAGTTTTAACGGTGTAAGGGACTCTCAATGGGAGAGATTCACGTTTTTTGTTATTGTTTCCCCTCTGAGGAGTAGGGACGGGGAGTTGGATTAGTAACACTGTCTGGGACAGATGCGGTGGCAAAATAAGATCGCACAGAAGAAGACTTTAGGTCTAGCCGGGAGACAATAAAAAAACACTTTTAAAAGTAACCTGTCAAATACTACTAGGAAGAAATTAATCGCAGAGGAAGTGAGCAAACAGGACAGACAAACACTAGTGAGGGTATAGAAAGGATTCCTTTACTGGATAGAAATGGTGAGGTCCAGATGCCTGTGCAAATCCAAGAGTATTCGATACTCTGACACATTTTGGGGCCCAGTGAATAACAACATCCCGTAATATGGCAATAAGTATTCTGTGAGAAGAGAGTTCTTAGTTTATAAAAGGTTGAAATGCATGGACTGGAGTTTGAAACAAGCTTTAGCATTTCAGGGATTAAGCCTTGAATGTACTGATGTGTATTTCAAGATCTTCTGGAAAGGGGACTTACAGTTCCCTACACATATCTGAGCATGAGAATTCCATTTTGTGCAGCGACTGTGAAGGTATTTAGAATGGTTTGGGACACGATGGTCTCGCTTACCTTTTCATAGCGCAGAACCAGGATCCTATCTTCCCGAGGCTTCCTGTGTGAGAAGCAAAGCCACTTTGCTTCACCCTTTTGTCCCGGGGTGAGATTGGCCCTGTCCAAGTTTTCAGAGGTCACACACTCTGAGTCACTTTCCTGTCCTGGGAGAGCTTGTCTGATCTTTGCGCCACTCTGCCCTTTCCTCTGTGGTCTCCCTTGGGGTTCATTATGACCTTGCAGAGCCCAGGGAGAGCAGTTTTGCAACCATGAAATAATATAAAAACCCCAGTTGTAACTTCCATATCATATTGGCCTGCTAGTGAATTTTCTTTTTCAAATTTTCTACTGCTCTACTGCAAAAACATTGTATTCAATTTTTCTTATTCTCAAGAATAGATTTATGGATTATATTGAATGCTAAGCTTAAATTACAAAGTAGAGTCCAGCTCTGCCTTTACCTTTGGGACACCCCATCTTCCAAAAGCTGGTTAAAATCTTACTTGCATTGCACTGTGGTTTAGTTTGGTTACTGCTCTAAAAGTGTTCTTACTTCTGACTTCAACTCAGTGATCACATTTTGGTCTTTTCTTCTCTGCTCATGAGTCACAAGAGAAACAAAAACCAAATGTCAAGGCTCTTATAAAACTACAATTGCACGGTGGATAACAAAAGAGTCAAAGGGTTGCAGTAGTTCGTGACAAATTGAAACGCAGTGGTGTTTCTAGTGAGCAGACTGGGGGTGCTATTTCAGTTGAAAAGCATGACTCACTCTGATTCTTTGGAACAGGTCAATCACTTTCCACCCATTTTCATACTAGATTAGGGTGCCCAGCAGATATTTGGTCCCTGAATGGTGACCATGATTCACGGTCAGTGAAATTGCCTTTGCGACTTCCATAAACAACTGAGTATAAACGTCCAATATGGAAGCCTGACTCCCGGGGGAATAGAACGTGGGAAAGAGCACTTAAGTTCCTCTTAGATAACAGGAACAGGGAGAGAGATCTTTGGGAAATGGGAAGGGACCAAGACATGGAGGGAAGGGAAGAGAAGGGAATGTAAAAAGGATTGGGATGTGTTACATTCGTGTACCAACTTCCCACAATGAGCCTAAGCATTATGTACTAATAAAACAAGAATGGCAATGCCTTTGGTTTTTTATCTCAGCACGGAAAAGTGATAACAATTAACTGTGTGAAAAGCTAGGGTTTTCAAAGACAGCTTAAACCCTAATAGCTACATGGTACAGTTTTTGCACTAGATACAAGTGGGAGCACTAGAAGAACCAGACCAATAGTATTTTTTTTCCTTTTTATTGAGTTTAATGGTACAATCTAGGTATACAATACAATTACATTAATCATTGGGATTCTGTACCTTTACATAATAGGTCTTGATTCTTATTTTTCCCCTTGTCCCTGCCCTCCCTTCACTCCCTCCTCCCCTCCCCATTTACAAACACTTTATTTCCATTTTTTCAGTTTCTCATATTTTTTCCTCTCCCTTATTACCTTTCACCCACCCTTCCCACTTTCCCTACACCTTTAGCCCTTTACTTCCTATTTCACATTATTAATTATCTCATTAAGATCCTGTGTACTATTATAGTTTTTCACACCAAAGAAACTATTCGGTATTTCAGTTAAAGAAATCTCTGTATGAACATTAAAAATAGGGAATCCTAAAATAAAACTAAAAAGGAAAGTAAAAGAGAAAAGGCAATGATGTAACATCAAAATAATCCTTAATTCTGGAGATGAAAATGGTCCCTGAACATATTTAAACTGCTTCTCGCTCTTATAGTCTTATTCTTTTTTTCATTATTTAGAGAATACTTTATTAGTTTCTGTACCAATAGTATTTTATAGACTGGAGATGTTTTCAGCAAAACTAGAACATGAGGATGTCCTAAAGAACGTCATCCTCTGTGATTTTTATTTATTTTTTTTTTTACAAATGCCTTTTCTTAAAAGGAAGCAGAAAAGTGCAAGGATGTCCTTGTTAATCTCTGGTAACTTTCAGTTCTGAGCCAGTCAGCTACAGCCACACAGTTAGCACAATAAATTAATTACCACAGCCTGGATGGTCCTGTCTGTGTCTTTGGGGTTTTTTTTCCTTCATAATTCTCACCACAATGAAAAGCTAATTAATAGCCAGTAGAGCTTCCTACAGCCTCATTTCTTTTCTTCTTTAGGGATTGATGCAAAGTTGCAACCAGATGCACGCCTCCTACCTCTTCCAGCAAGACAAACACTACGACCTGTCCTACGACACCGGCGACAAGGCCTTGCAGTGTGGGCGCCACGTTGATGTCTTTAAATTGTGGCTCATGTGGAGGGCAAAGGTGAGCATGCGTCGACCCAGAGGAAGAGGCTGCCTGATGCCATGTTTAAAAAGCTGATTACTGGGCCAGGGGTTTGGCTCAGTGGTTCCGCCACCTGCCTCGCAAGCGCAGGGTCCCAAGTTTGATCCCCAGTACCTAAAAAAAAAAGTTGATTGCTGAATGAACGGTTGGTTACCCAAGTTCAGTTTCCTGGCTCCTATGTCCACGTGCCTGAATTCCACATGCTTTGGTTTTGTTGCTGTTGCTGCTGCCATTGTTGTTATCTTGTAAGCCCAGGAATTTCTAATGCCCGTATCTAGAAAACAAATCCATTCTGCTGTATGCGGCGGATTACCTTGATATATATTCAGATGTATTTCTCATTGTTGTAATTATTGTTGCTTGGGTTTGTTTCATCCTGGACTTTTGGTTTTCTCTCAGTGATTGGTGTCTGGTTAGATAAATGCAATCCAAAAGTATGTCTGGAGACCAGAAAAATGCAAAAACTTCTCCTATGATAGCTAACTTTGGATGTTTTCAGAGAGAACCTTGCATGATAAAGCTCTTTAGGACTTTGGAAACACCTACCTACCTCCTTTTGTATGAGTTCTTTTTACCTCAGAATTTACCTGAGGTGATTTCTCCTCTCCCAGCAAAGCAAACTCTGTAACCACTGGTGCACAGCACTGGCTGGCTCTCGCCACAGCCTTCTGTGGCGTATATTTATGTGAAATGCAAGCAGGCAGCAGAGATAAACAATCTGACTTTTCACTACAACTGGATTCCCAATTTACAAACCAGTGGCTTCGGCCTGGTTTCGTTTTTCCCCAGCCAGTGGCCAGAGCCACCAGTACACGCTATGGAAACCCAAGGGCAAAAATGGTATTCCAAGGAAGCCTGAGCGGGGAAACTGAGGAAGGGGGAGGTGAAGGAGGCTGGGGTGCTGTGCGGGTGTGTGGGGGGTAGAGGCACACATTCAGGTCTTCGCTTTGGCAGTAGCATGCACAAAGAACGAACAGGCTTAAACCGGTAGAAACTTGGTTGGCAGGAATGAGGCACCAGGGTGAGGTCCAGGAGTGTGGTCCTTCCCAGGATCTGTGTGGAGGGAGGAACCATGTACACCCGGGAGATCCACGTATGGTTTTTTGTGAAATTTTCCCAAGTAAACAGAACTGCTTTAAGTGGTTCAGATAGGTAGAGTGGCCACCAAGAAGAAAAACAGGGATTTGAAAGAGAAGCAGTGCGATCCACGTGTATTTTACAGAATCATCTTTAAATCCATCCTGCCAAGAGAAGCAATATGAATAGAAAGGTAGTCTTTCCTGATGCATAAATAACTCTTAGACGGTGTGCCGGGATGGCTGGACGGCTCTCGGGCAGGTCTCCACAGCAGTGTTCACTCTGACTGGACTTTTTCCAAGTGTTGTGCAGTGTCAGGCAGCTACACAGCGTGAGGCAGGCCCTCCCTCGGGGGCCGAGGAGAACGCCCATCCCTTCAGCTGCCTTCCTCTTTCCAAAGTTGAGGAGCTGACAGGGACGCGTACCTCCTGAGACTCATTCTGCTGGGCGTGACATTTTCACCTGGAAACAAAGTCAGAGATGTGAATTATTGGTGTATTCCCGATTTGTTTTCAAAGAAGCAGTTTTATTCAGTTGATTGGTAGAAATCACAAAGTTACAGACACAAGTACCAGACAATAAGCTGAAGAAAGCTTGACCTCTAAATAGTGTGCAAGTGGTCTTTTGCTTCAGGGGTCATTCTTTTTGCCTCTTTTTCCTGTGGCGGTTTTTATTAAGATACTGATTGTGAGCTCTATTTACATGAAAGTGTTTTCATGGTTCATTAGTTCCTGCTGCTCCTCTTCCATCTGGGCCTCTCCAGCATGGGGCTGCCTGTTGGTTCTTAGCAAAACAACTCTGTGGCCACAGGGGCAACTCAAAGAGCAGAACCAGGCAAAGAGCAGAATAAAGGCAGAGGAGCCACTTTTAAATTATCGAAAGAGGAGAGTGCAAAAAAAGAAAAGAAAAATCACAGCTGCTACCTTACTTGTGAGCACACACTCTTTTAATTTCTTATGCAAAACTTCCACTACCTAGACATCCAAAAGGCAGAATTTTTCACTTGGTTTTCAGCCTAAAGCTATGGTTTTGGTTTTTGTTTTTTTTTTACAGAATGAAATGATAGTTATTAAAGTAATATGCTCAGTCTCACAACCTAGGTCAAAGGTAAGGACAATTACCCCACCAAAAGCTCTCTGACCAAGACAACCATGGTAGAAGGACCCTGGAAGTGTGGCTGTGGTGGCCTGTCTCCCGTCCCCACAGGAGTAGGAAGCCGTCTGAAAAAGAATGTTGGTGAGGAGAGCAAAAGAGCATTAGGAGAATGTGCCTGGAAAATGTGCCTGGAGAAGGCGGTGTTCTAGTTAATCAGTAACTCCCCCTTCCCAAGATAAACCACAATGACAATGACACTTAAGTGTAAACTATCATTCTTCCGGGCTGGTAATGACAAATGGAGCTAATGCCCCAGTGGGAGCCATCACATTAAAGCCCAAGATAATTTGATTAGTGCCAATCAGTGCAAAAATGGACTCCTGGTGTGTGCTGCTAAGAGGCGTTCTACATAGTAATAATAAATGTAAGCCTGTCCTTACTAAGTAGGCCTTCGTTTATCACACTAGCTTATTACAGAATCCAAGGAGTTGATTTTCCATGTTGACAAATTTTCTCGGTGGTAAAAACTCCACAGCAGACAAAATAAATAAACAAGCCTTAAAATTACTCCCCCATTTTTAGGTCTGCAACCAGAGATTAAAATGTCATGGTAAATCTTCATGTGTGTTTGTGGTTACACAAATTGGCAGGTTTTCTTGTAATTTCCTGTGACTGGCCTCTCTGGTTGGTAACAAAGAGACTGGCAAGTGGTTGAGGACAAGAAAAACAGGAAAAATTATGAAGAGAAACTGATGTTCGGCATCTTTTGCTGTGTGACTGTTCACTTTCTTTCTAAAATATTAATGATTTTAACAGGTAGCTATTGTGTATCTGTTGCTGGGCCTAGTGCTGAGCAGGATGTGGTAAGAAAGCTACAGCTTTCCGGCAGGCTAAGTGCAGGAACCCCTGTCGTCTGAGAAAGACTAACTGGTCATAAAAGATGCACAGATGCAGGATGCGGAATGAGCGAGCTCGTTCACAGTTTGAGAATCAAGAGAGCTTTATCAAGAGGGTCCCACGTGGTAGAGCTGGGAGAAGGGCACTCCGGGGGGAAGGGCAGGCAGGTGCCCAGGAGCACAGCTGAGCGGAGTGGAGACCTGAGCTGACCGGGGGCGAGGAGGGAATCCAGTCCAGCTGGGGAGCAGGAGGGCCCGGACCAGGGTGGAGTGGAGTGGAGGTGGCAGCAGGGCCTCCAGCAGCTACGTGAGGAGGAGCGGGGCCTTGGTACGTGAGCCACTCTCTCCCGTGGGAGCCTTCAGGGCCGGAGTTCATTGTCAGCAAGCCCTTGGCAGGAGTCATCAGCCTCCTTGAACCAGTCAACTGGGACAGCAGTCATCGAAGCAATGAATTTCTGAACCCATTAGCACTCTCCAGTGCAGCTTAGAGTGCTTTGGATGCTGCGGTCCCGGCCCGCGCTGGATGCCTGTTCTGTGCGGTGAGGAGAACATGAGAACAGAAGTGGGCCTGCCGTGTCTGTGGCACAGACACCCCTCTAGTTCCCTGTCGGAGTGTTGGAGTGGCCGCTGGTAGGCAGTCCTCAGTGCTCCCAGGATGAGCTGTAGCTGCTTTTCCAAGCTCTCCATTCGTACTTGGTAACTGCAGAAGCCGTTCTGAAGCGCGTCCTGACGTCACCCGTACGGCTCTAGCCCAAGGCTGCTGTGCTGGGTTCATAAGTACAGATCCAGGGCTTGCAGAGCTGGAAACTAAAAGACCTCTGTGTGAATACTGCCCCGTCAGACGTGAGTCGTGTGCCCGTCTCCTGAGAAGAAGGCTGTCATCCTGCCAGGCTCACAAAGCACTTGTGCTGCCCGCGTCGCTGGTTTGATCAGCCGACACCTTTGCTCTGTAGAGAGGTACACGGCGAACAACGATGGGGTCTGGGAGGCGAAAACGACGTGACGGCGGGGCAGCAGACATCCTGGGGAGCCCTGACGACACGTTCTGTCCGTTCTGTCGTGGGGGGACTCACCGGGCCCTCCTGTCGTTAATGACTTCCACGATTCCCTCTAGGCACTGCAGGGGCAAATTTTCCCCTTGGGCAATCACAGTGATCGCCTGGGGAGTGGAGGCTCGGGAAGAAAAGGGGTCAGCTGTGGAGAACAGTAATGAACGGGAGCAGAGGCACCTGAGGGGAAGAGCACGGGGAAATGCTCCCAGAAAGGCCCCGGAAGCAGGCGAGCGTGGGGACAGTGACAGTGGACACGAGGCGCAGAAGTGGCAGAATGGCTGTCAGGGCCCCGGCACTCACTCCATGCCCCTGCCGGGTGTCCTGCCCACACTTTGGCCTGCCTGATGAGCTCTGTTCTTCCTTCCACAGGGCACTACTGGGTTCGAGGCACACATTGATAAGTGTCTGGAGCTGGCGGAGTATTTATACAATATCATAAAAAACCGAGACGGCTATGAGATGGTGTTTGATGGGAAGGTAGGTGCTCAGATTTCCGCAGCCGAGTCCATGCCAGTCCTTACCACTGCTGGGCTCTGGGGTAAATAAGACGCTGTCCCACCGAGGGAAACCACGCAGAGGGTGTGCGGTGGATGACGGGTGGCACCTTCAAGCTAGAATGAAGATCAGATCACATAGAAGTCTATCTGACGGGAAAGCCAGGCGCTCCAAAAGCAGCCTCTGATTTAAAAACACAAGCTGCATCCTGAACCTGGGGAAGGAACAGATTGTAAATGTCCTTGAAATTTTCAACCTTGGCAGTCGGAGCTGGTTCTGAATCTTCCTCTCCCCTTCGTAGCCTCAGCACACAAACGTCTGCTTCTGGTATGTACCTCCGAGCTTGCGTGCTCTGGAAGACAATGAGGAGAGAATGCGTCGCCTCTCGAAGGTGGGTGCTGACAGCTCCTCTGGTGTGTGTGTATTGGGCCTCTCACATGCGTATTGTTCTTGTGACACATGCACATCTTCATGAGAAATCCCACCCACTCCCCACTGTGGACGCCAAAATAGCCAGGCTTCTCACAGCTGTACTTCCTTGCTTTTTGAGAGGCTTTATGGTGTCTTAAAATTAGTAATTAGGCAATGATCTTTACTTACTGGTGTTCAGAGAGCTGCAAGAACTTTTGTTGGAAGTTGACCAGATTTCCCAAGCAAAACTGGTGCTCGGTTTTGGTGCAAGCGCACACAAAAAAAGACTCCAAGTATAAGGATTAGAAAACAAAGCTGTTGCCGAGCCTCTTGGGATGCAGGGCAAAGCTCCTGTGGGTCTTGAGAGCCATGCAACCCTAGAACATACCAGCGCAAGGAGCAATAATAGTACCAGCCGCCATCTAGGTGTGTATTTTCCCAGGCCAAACTTGTAGTGCCTGTTAGATCATTTAGTTCTCGTGGTAACCTGATTGGGTTGGTGAACGGGGGAAAGACTGGCTTTCCCAAAACCACACAGAAGCCACTCCAGAGCCCAAGAGAGTGAGCTTTACATTCTACCCCTGTCAGTAAGACACTTTTTACCTGGAATCCTCGGAGGCTCCCGACATTTACCATGGGTGAACTACAGCGTACGACACACAGCAGAGGGAGATACTGTAGACATGGGGTCCAGCTCTCTGCATGCCGTAGGGTTGGAAAACAGGGAGCCATTCTGTAATTTGGGTCTCAAAGGGTTGGTGTTTGATTCGGGGTGTCTTCCCATGCCGTAAAAGAGAGAGACAATCCTTGCCAGTGCCTACTTGGGGAGGGCAGGCCGTCTTGCCCACCACTGAGGAGCCTGGGATGCTCACTGACCTTTCAGACTGTACTTCCTTCTGTACAATGGCAAGAATAAGATTTCCTGTAGATCTAAAGCCCTCAAAAAAAAGCTTATACATATTAATACCTGCCTGCAAGCAACCCATAATCAAAGTCCTCCTCAGGAGAAACTTAATGCCTGGCTAAGGTCTTGTAAGCCAAGTCTCCTAACTGGAATCGTTGACCCTGGCTGTGCATTAATAATCACGTGAAATTTGATAAAAACAGGGTGACCATGTCTTACCCTGACACCTTGGTCTCACTGCTCTTGGATGGGTCTGGGAATCCTTCTGAAAGTTCTCCAGGTTATTCCACTGTGCAGCACAGGTTGAGAACTACCGACCTAACAACAAATGGAAGGAAATTTCTAGAACCTGGATCTGTGTTGCACTGTCTGGGGTGGGAGTGGGAGTGGCTGTGTCTGAAATTTGGGTGAGTTGGTTCTTTCCAGTATAGGAAGCCCATGAGGTGAGAGAGGAAGCAGAGATCACATTGGACAAGAGATAGCAGCAAGTTTAAAAAAGAAAAGAGAAAAAGGTATGTTGGGGCCTACAGTCGTTTGAGAGAAAACAGCTCATTTTCACCCCAAAGGTGTATGAAGCTGCTTCTCCACAGGGTAAATTGCCTTAGTAACAACAAATTTTATTGATTGAGTTAGAAATTAGATGCCCCATTCTTGCTGCTTTTCCGTTCTGTAACCCACCTGCCAGACAGATAGACTCACAGAGGAGCAGGACTTGTTTTGTTTGTTAAATCGGCTCTGTCACTGGGCTGAGGGCTGAGCCAAGATGGGAACACGCAGAAAAAATATCTTTTTCTTCCTGAGAAAAAAAGCCCAATTCCGAGCTCCCTGCACTGAAGTACAATTTCTCAGGTGCATCTTAGATTGAGCGTGTCGCGTGACCTGTGCTGGTGATGGAGATCATTTCCCCAGGACGGCAGTTAGGATGTGTAATTGTAGACTATGTTTCCGCTGTTGGTAATTCCAGTCTGAATGTCTCTGAGGGCTGCAAAATGAATTCTGATTTTTCTCTTTTCTCTGACTGTGTTTTCATCACTGTACTAGAGAGAATTCATTGTAGGTCTGAATATGAAAATAGAACCAAATGAATTATCAAGGTTACTTTTTGTCTGTGTCAATACTGTTTCTGAGTTTTGGGCAGGTTCCTTATTAATTATAACACACTCAAGCTGAGCTACAATGACCTACACTGTCCATTACAATAATAAATGCTGCCTGTGGCTATTTGCATTTAAATTTAAATCAATTAGAATTAAATTCAGCTGAAATTTTAGTTCTTCAGCTACACTGGCCCGCTTGCGAGAACCCAGCCCTGACTACCAAATGGCTGGGACACACAGAAGCGTCTCCACCCATCGTGTAGTGTGACACAGGTCTCAAATGAGAGGCAGCGTGGAAGCTTCCTGGCAGTGTATGGGAAGCAAGAGAACAAAGTCAGATTCTGGGCGAGACCAGGAGTCCCTCTCTGTACCCTCATGCCTGGGAATGGGATTTGGGGTATGTATGCCAGGCCCTCAAGAGGACTTTTAAGCTAAAGTACCATCGTGGTCTTCTCAGGATATGGTGATGAGCTACCAAAGACTGAGTGGGTTGTAAGTAACAGAAACTTATCTGTCACCGTCTGGAGGCCAGGAAGTCCAAGGTCAGGATGCCGGCAGAGTCTATGTCTGTTGCACCGGTAGATGAACTTTTTAACCACTGTGTCTTCAAACAGCAGAAGGAGGGTGCAGGAGCTCTCTGGGGTCTGGTTTTGAGGCAGTAATGCCACTTGTGAAGGCATACCTTCCCAAAGACCCAGCTTCTAAAGGCATCATACAGACAGTGAACTTGAGGAGACACCAACATGCGGCCTATAGAAAGCATTTTTTGCATACTCCACAGTAAGGAGGGGTGATGACATTTAGGAAACCTCATAGTGGGCCTTTTTGCAGCATGCCTGGGGTCAGACATCCAGAGAACAGAGGTGGTTATTACTAAATCAAGCAGTGACATCTTCAGGAGATAAAGAAGACAGTCTGCTGGGTGAGTTTCCTTTGCTCAGGCAGAGCTGTGAGTGTGCAGGTGACTTGGGCAGGGACCTGACGGCCTCAGGTCCTTCTGGGAGAAGGCCACACTGCACACCTTAGGCACAGGAAGGGCAGCAGGTAGGCTCCAGGCAGGTATTTATCAAACAAGAATCAGAAGGCTGATGTTTGATGACCTCTTGTATTTCTGGTTCTTCTCTTCATCTTCTTCCTCTTCTGTTTGGTTGGTTGGCTGGTTGGTTGGTTTGGTTTGGTTGGTTTTTCATACTGGGGTTGAACCCTGGTACCTCACCAATAGTAGGCAAGCACTGTACCTCTGAGCTACATGCCCAGCCCCTCCTTATTTTAATTTTAACTATCTTTGATCATCATCTACATATCTTCACTCAGCTTTTATAATCGTGCACAGATCGACAACTTTCAAAAGGGTAACGATGGATTTAATAGTAAATAGACAAGGAAGTAATATGGCCTCGTATTTTAAAATCTGCTGAGTTAATGGGGAATTTCATTAGTGAGACTTTAACATTTCAGGGTATCTTATTTATGCCTCTTCTACTTTCTCACTTTTCAGACATTTCTCAGGTTTCAAAGATTTAGAAACAGGAAGGCCTAACACACAACAAAAAATAAATTTCTATGATAGTTTCTAAGGCTGTTTCACAATGACTGTGACCTTCCTAGGGAAACAAATATAGATTTGATTTTGGAGCATTTTCTTGGTTAGTTTTCTAAGGGATTGAAAAGCAAATGGTACAAAGGAGGGAATAATATCCTAAATCTTTTAAGGCAGCCCCGAAGATCTCATATTGATTACATCTTTAATGATTTCTTCAACATGCAACCCTTCCCTCTCCAACTTGGCTTTTGTTATTCAGAAAACCAAGAAATGGGCCCTCAAAAATCTAGCAGTAGAAGGAAGCTTTGTGTGCATTTATCAGAATAGACAGAATCTTGTTTTCCTTTTAAACTTGCCATTAGTGAGTATCGATGAAGTAGATATTCCCTGGTCCAGCTAACTTTTGTTGATCAGCATTTTCTGGAAGGAACCAAAAGCCATGTAGACTTAGACAGCCATGGCTCCTGCCAATTCAGATTGCTTTCGGAATAGGAGATTCAGTTGCACTTCATGTCAGAATCTGCTTGGGATGTAGCTGTCAACTTTAATCTTTTGACCTTTGATTTGCATCCATCTGAAAGTTAGAGATGGTTGTCCTTAATAACTAGTGTCACTCATGTGTGGTTTTGCCCAGCTTCCCCTGAAAATGAAGTCAGACTTCAAGTATCTTAAGTATCATTGTTTTATCAGTACAAAGATCAAGCATGACTTATACAAATAAAACTAAGGAAAGGTTATATGATTTTTTCCCCCTGAATCTCTGCAGCCATGTGGATACAAAATTCTTTTGTGAATTTGGGGCTTTCTTACGCCCAGGGACACACTGACTTGCCTTGCCTTGCACCACAGAGTGTTAAGTTCCATGTCCTTTGGCTCAAATATTCTAGTGGATCTGTTTTCAGAACTTAGTCCCAAACTCAGGATGCTTGAATATTTTTATATTTATTTCCTGAGATGGAGCCAGTGTCCTGCATACATGCTTAACCCTTCAAGTGAAAGAAGAATTCACCCCACGGAAACATTCCTCTTTGCATCATCTCCCCATGGGACAAGGGAGGGGCAGGAAGGAGCACAAAACTCCTCGGTCTAGAATGAGGTCATCTCTCACTGGAATCCTCATCCACCTCCACTTCAGGGAGGAGACTATGCTCGCAATGTGAAGTGCATTCGCTTTGTCTTTGGTAACCAACAAGTGATGGACCTCATTTGGAATTTGCTGATTTTGAGCATTGACTACCTTGAAGATTAAAACCTCAATATAAAGTGATACTTAGTATTACTATTAACTAGTTAATATTCAGAAGTCACATGTTCATAACATGAATCTAACTGCCATTCATGTCAATTCAAGTGTCCTTTGTTAAGCTGCGTCCAACTATGATATGAGGCATGGTTCCCATCTTTAACTAAGTTTCTGACCGTGTACACCTCAAATAGATCTGAAGCCTCTCTGACAAGTCATTCCTTGTTATATATTTGTAGCAGTGAGCCTGGAAGGTCAGATGGTGACGAGACATTGTGGCATATGTCACAGCTCTAGCTACTGGGGTGTGCAGTGTGGGGTGGGTGGGGTCACAGGTTGGAGACCTGCCTGGGCAACTAAGAAAAGCCCTGTCTGAAAATTTTGAGAAGTTTTATAAAGGACTAAGGATGTAGCTCATTGGTGGTGTGCTTGCCTAGCACACCCAAGGCCCTGTGTTCAATCCCCAGCACTGAAAAAACAATCACATGTTAAATGTGCCAACTCCAATGGTAAATACGTGTGAACAGATCACGTATTACGTTAGATACAACTTTCATTTGTGCCGCCTCCTACGTAGCTGCTGCTATATTCTGTTCTTGGTAGCCGATTAGAACTAAGAAAGCCCTCAACATACACCTGGCACGGTGCTGGGAAGCATAGGAAGTAAAAGGCACCAACTATGCCCTCCAGGACCTTACAGTTGAGGTAGATGGAGAAAATGCATTTACTCATTGCTAAGAGGCCAGCAGGAAATTCACATCTAATCAGAATCTGTGGGTCAGGATCATGTGTCACAACTTAGAAGAAAGACACTAATGATTTGGAGAAAGCAGGAAAAGCTTCACAGCAGCTGTAGGAAGGTGGTAAAGTCCTGCAGTGTGTAGATGTGAACTGGAGGAAAAGGGATTCTAAGCAAAGAGAACCGATGTGATGTTATGAGACTGATGACAGGTGGGAAGGATGGAAATATGGAAGGCACCGGATATCCAAGGCATATTAGATAAGTTAGTCTGTCAGAGCTGAAGACTGGTGTTGGTGAGCAGTGAAGACTGGTCCTCAGAGCTGATGACGGAAGGACTTTGTGCCAAGCTAAAGCGCTTGAACTTAATTTCATACACCATGGCAACCACTAAGGCTGTAACGAGCAGTCTGGCACAATTACTTGAGAATCTTGTCTGTTGTGCACTTCTGTATGTCAAGTTCTTGTGAGTTCAGATTTTCACTTCAGCTGATTCTTCATCTTGTCAAGTAGGATCTTTTAAAACAGCTTATAAAACAGAGGTAATGCAAAAGGGGAATAAAAAGAAGCTGGGAAAGTTTAGGGTCTTTACAAAGTTACCAAAAGTCTATTATTTTCATACATCACGTGATACTGAGGCTTACCTAGGTGACAATTCTACGAACTATGTTTTTCTTCCAATAATTTAATATTTTCTGCAAGAAAAACTCCAGTAGTCATATTACTAAGTCATTTAGCCTTGGGACCAAGAGTAGGTTCTTCTCATTTTCCCAGAACACTAACTAGAAAATCAGTGCCAAGATAGCAAATGCCTAATAGCTCATTATCTCTCTTCTTAGCACCTTCCTGGTCTTGAATATTTTGAACTGTTCTGGTCCTTTGATCCCATGAACACTTGAAGGCAGTTCCTTCAAGGGTAAACAAATACGGCCCTGTTGGGTTAAAAGCTCACTGTGGGTAGGTCCATGGCTAGGGGAGAGGCCCCAGAGAAACAGCTCTGAAATGGTCGCCCCTGCAGGTCGCCCCGGTGATTAAAGCCAGAATGATGGAGTACGGGACCACCATGGTCAGCTACCAGCCCTTGGGGGATAAGGTCAACTTCTTCCGCATGGTCATCTCAAACCCCGCGGCCACTCACCAAGACATTGACTTCCTGATTGAAGAAATAGAGCGCCTGGGACAGGATCTGTAACTACCTGGCTCTCCCCGCTGTTTCGAGTCCCTAGGTAGACAGTGAAGTTGCCCTGAACTGTGTCGCTGTATTTGTAGCTTGTTCCAGAGTAACTCTATTTCTGTATTGTGGTGTCACAGTGGAATACTGTTTAAAATTTTAAAAAAAACAACATTGCTCCCTTTAAAACTCCTTTCTTAAGTTTAGAATACCTCTCTATAAATTTAGTGACAACAGGCTGTGTTCTAATCAATAAGGAAGAGCTTGAAGTTATAAATACTTCCCTTACTTTTAATATAGTGTGCAAATCAAACTTTATTTTCTTTTCAGAGTAATAGGACTGAATAGTGCCAAAGTGCTCCTGAACCATAAAAGGTTCTTTGACGTGCCGTGAAAAGGGAAAAGTAAATATAAAATGTATGCTGACAATAAAAACTCTAGCCTTTTGCATAGTATTAGAAAAATTTCTAATTTATCTATAGCAACATTTCAAATGTATTTAAATACATATAATTTTACAAAAGGAAAATATATATATTAAAAAGAAATCCTATTTTGTAACATATAGATTTTTATTTTATATGGGTTATACAAACTGCAGGGGCAGATATAAAACCTAAGCCAGATTTTTTTTCCTTTCTTTTAACGGAGGCACAATAAAACACCTAGCAGTGTTATTGTGACACATAAGCCCACAGAATTCTTAAAAGGTATAATTCCTACTTTCAATACATGTTATGGCTTAAACACATCTCCAAAGTTATTTCAAAATAAACCCAAAAGAATACTGCAGATTGATAAGAATGATTGATCAGTTCCACAGTTAAGATCCCCTTCCCATTTAAAATCTCCCTCCTCTTCCTGCCTAGCAGGCCGCCCTCCAAGCATGAGAATCCAGGCTTCGTCTCAGGTTAGATCAGGGAGCATATCCATTCTGCTCTCCAGGTGGACCTGCGCGGGACAGAAGGCTGATGCTGGGTTTTAAGGCATCTTCCCAAATAGCATTCTTTTATTGGGTCATTTCGATTAATTAGAAAAAAAAATAAAACCTAATCAGCCCAAGCAAAGAATGAAACACATCCCCAGAATGGGACAAGCCCAGGATCCTAAACTCAGCTTTGTGAGATGGGAGTCTGCATGACTAAAACAGCACCCTGGGTACCAAACTGCCACTGTCCGGGAAGGAGTCCTTTACTCCCCGGATGACTGCTCACCCGCTTCCCTTCCCGTTTCTTCACACACAAGTCTCTCCTGCCAGGCTCTGTCACTGGGACGCCAAGAACTAGCATCCCCTTCCTTTCATGAAGCGAGCTCCTCACTCATTTTGAGGTATTCTAAGACCCTCTATCCGTCTCTTACCAAGGCTCCAAGCAGCCAGAATATGCAGCGATGTGCAGAATTCAAGACCCTATTTTAAAATCATCTTTCTTTCCATGCAAACCTGATGGCAGGGCATGAACTAACAGGCCACTGCAGATATTTATGGGGCCACAGATTGTCAGGATCTAAATGCTGGCAAGAGAACTGCGCCTTTTATGTGCAGACTGCAGCAACATATCCTGAAACATTCTATCTTTTGTATGGACAGGACAGTTCAGTGCTCAGAAAGACTGGGTACAGAAGAAGGAAGACCTTGTCCTTTAGCAGATAAAAATGCCCCGTAATACAAGCGCAGGATGCAACCATATGAAATCATGAGTTTGCTTCTACCTTATTTCTCCCAGGTTATATAAAAAAACACATAATGGATGTAAATGTGGCTTTGGACGCTTTGGGAATTAAATGGGTTCCCTTTGGCAATTAGGAAGAGAACCTGAGCTGCAGACTTTCATGAAGGAACAGCCTCCCATGCTAGGCTTTCTCTGACAGAGAAGCACCCCGAGAGTAAAGCTCACTGTCGCTGTCCATCCTGAGTCTCCCACCACTGGCTGGGAACCTAAGAAAACCCTCCCAACCACCGGCCAGAGAGAGAAGCAAACGGAAGCCCAACAGGTCCCAGTAATTTAATACTCCTTAATATTCTTTAAGGTAGATCAGTAACCCACTCCAGAGAAAAGGAGGGAAGCAGGGAAGAAAGGGAAAAGGAACCAAAGAAAGAAGGAAAAGAGAGAGGGAGATGGTTTTGAACATCAGCCCAAATCCCAATGCCAAAGGTCCTTACGTGAGACCATTCTTTAAGCATTTTAGGAACGTTTGGTTTTAGCTTTAATCCGAACTAACATGGCCATTTTCATTTCTGCAGCAATATTGTATTTATTATTTATGATACTTGAACAAAGTATAATATATCTTTATCTGAGAACTGTAAATGATATGTACTTCGTGTGCTGTCAAAGGCTGTGAGGGAAGGTAAGGGAAACAATTGTGTGTGTGACTGTTTTGCCTTTGTTATATTGATAGAACTGTCTTGTCACCTCAGCTTGGGGTTGTGCACTTTATATTTGAACTCTACAGTGTTGCAATGAACATGTGTTGCTGTAACAGCTTGTATAATATATTATTGGTATGTCTGCTGTGTGGTAGCTGTGTTCAACTTTGGTATTCTGAGAACTTCATTTGCCTCTCTCTCCCCCCACCCCTCTCTCCGGCTCTCCCCCCACCAATCTGTATCCCCTCCACACCAGCTGTAATAGAGAACATGCTCTCAGCAAAGCCCCTCCTGACAATTGCCTTTGAGAATTGTGTGATTTCACAAAATGCAAGGTGACCACTACTTTTTCTCTAAGAATGGTAGAAACCAATTTTGGAGTGTTGTAAACTGCCAACATTATAGGTGTTGGCTCTGCTGGGCCCTGGAGTAGTTGCTACTCCTTAGAATATGGACAATGAATGCACAGGTGTAAATACAGTGGTGGGATATAAATCAAGGGATCTCAACCTGGGTGTCATCTTGCACGTGCTCTTCTGTTTTCAAGTGCTAGACACAAGCACCATGTGATTATTAGTCATGTGTTCCGAACACTCTTCCCAACTGATGTTTCTGGACAATGTCAGCATTTCCCCGACACCACTCCATTACTAAACACAAAAAGAAATTAAGAAATAAAAAATATAAATGTGTCAACCTGTTCTTCTTACCAAATATAAACTTGTGTATGATCAAAGTATTTTATCTATGTTGTCTCTCTAAACCCAAATAAATGTGTGAATGTGGACCTGTCTCCAGCTGTTGTGCTTGCTTCTGGGTCTGGCATGGGGCCGGCATCATTTTTAGGGCATTGTCTGAATTCGAGGTCCTTCCTGGTCTCCGAGGTCAGAGGGCCCTTGGCCTTCCGCAGTTGCCCCCTTCCGGTGGTATGTATTGTTGTACCACTCTGGTTTCTCCTTCATTAGGATCCGATCTTTTTAGAAATGTATTATGGAAAATTTCAACTACCTAAAAAATATAATGAACAGTGCTGTTTCTACCCAGCTTCCACATTTGCTGACTCAGAGCCTGGATCGTGTTTTACCCATTTCCTCCCGGGATATTATCTTGATAGGAACCTGTGAAAGATAAGGACTCTTCAAGCTTACTCTTGATTCCAGTCCCACAGGTAGAACTGTAAGAGCATCGCCATAACAACATCAGTTATCCAGTTGGCAGTCGCACGGCCTTCTTTCTCGATGCCATCACAATCTGTGGCTCGTGGCTGTGCCTCCGAGGAGCTGGGGACCTGAGTCAGACACCCAGGGCCGGGCCGTGCACACCTGGACTATGTGTGTGCTGCTGTGTGTGTTCACTGTGTGAGTGTAGGACTCTGGACCCGTAGGGTGCAAGCTCCTGTTTCTCAGGGGCTTTTTTCCTAAGCTGTTAAAAGCAGGGCTAAGACGTATGGCCAAGTTAAAAATGCAGAAGCATAGGAATTTAGCAGGTTAACGTATAAATATCTACACAGAGAGAACAGGAATATCTGAGGCACCTTTCAGATCCAGGCAACCCCGAAAGGTCTGCGATTCCCTTAGAACTATTATTATTCTGGAGAAAAGAGAAAGTGTTTCAAGCAGATGTGGGGGTAAGGAAGGTTAACAAGGGGAAAGATGACAGCTAATTCCAGTAGCACCGCTTACAGCAGAACTGGCACAACCGCCCAATAAAGAGACTTTCCTGCAGATCCCTGCCTCTGTTCACGTCATCCCCCAGCCTGGGAAGGACTCCCACTCCCTCCCTGACATGAGAGAAGCCTCTCCTGAGGGATGAGGGCACTGACTCGAGAGCTATGGCCCCCCGGGCTCAAACCCCAGTCCCGCCACCGACCAGCCGGGAGGTGCCGAGCACCCGGCCTGGTCTCCTTGACTCTCCAGGTTTAAAACAGTACGGTTCCTCAGGAGTTTTGGGGGTGAATTAAATGAAATGTATGTAGAGCACTGGTTGTGGCTCTTGGCACCCAGTAAGAGGTCAAGAAATCTTGTTTTTGCAGTGTTAATGTCAGTCATATATGAACTTCATGTTACCTCCTGAAACACTAGCCCTGACTCTTACTTCTGCTCAGTAGTGCCTGCTGGGCCCTACCTCACAACAGACGGGAAACGTCATCTTATTCTCCCATCCTTGGGCCGGGGATTTAGCTCAGTGCTTCCACCACCTGCTTCTCCCATCCTTATGTCCCTCCTTCCCCCTCCCCTCCAACACGTGGCCCTAACAGGCCTCTCCGAGGTCATCAGTGCTGTCCCACAGGAAGAACGTAGTCCCTGTTGTCAGTGGGTCTTCCCCCATGGCTGATGTGCTTTGGCCACGTCCGCTAAGGCCCTCAGCTTCCTCAGCTAGGCTGAAGGGGTGGGTCACTGGCTCTGAGGCAGAATGTAGGTAGATGGTGGCCTGAGATTGTAACCCGGAAGAGCCCTTCGGTACAGCAGTTAGTTCCACTAACACTTATGCAGGTTACCAAAAGCCACATGCTCTCGTGTGCTCATCCACCTCTTACACATTACAGGTGGGGAAGCTAAGGCTCTACGTTTAGTCATTTTCTAAAGTCAAACGGTGAAAGTTAACACATGCGGTAATGCTTCGGCACACTAACCACCCCGGCTTTCTGGCTCCGTCTCCTCTCTCATCTTTCCTTCTGTACGCCTTCCACCTCCTCCGTTACAACTCTTCCCCGGTCCAGCACCACGTGGGCCTCTGTCCTTGTCCCAGAATTCCCTACACTGCCTCCTTCATCCGAGTGGGGCTGAGATCCTCTGCCACAGCCCTGTGAGACCTTCCCAGATGACCTGATGCCCGGGAGACAGCTTCCTGTCTCTCATATCAATGCACTTTGTTTTGTTCATAGCCATTTTTTCATACTTTGTTTTTCACCAATTCTATGATACCACAGTTGTTTAGATGACAAGCCAAACATTTGCCTGTCTGTGAAAGCCAGGTAAATCGGTCAATTTCCTCCATAGTTAGACAGAGCTCGGGATTCAGCATCCCAAAACATGGCACCTCGGCATTTGAAGAAATGGGAGACCCAGAAAGTCTTTCTGACGCTCTTCCCTCCTTTGCTCCTGAAGCAGATGGTAGAACCAGAAGGAATCCCTGCATTCCTTTGTGCTGAGACATCG